GTTCGGATCCCACATAAGGGCCAGTGACACTGCCCTCTACAGCTAAGATGCTGAACAACAGCTCGACCTGGAGCTGGGCTGCCGTGAGTCGCTGGCGATGGCGTTGGCTGCAGTGGGGCTTGCTGGCAGCGGGCGTGAGCTTTCGTGAGCTGCCGTGAGCGGCTGTCCAATGGCCAGCAAGCCACTGGGAAGAGCACAATGATAATACCAACATGGGCCAGTGATGCGACGTCTTCCATAACTAGACTGAAGAACAAAAGGACAGCAACTTGTCTGTTCCCCTTCCCTGATTCCCCAATGCTGTTCCCCTCCCCGAATTCCCCAATAAAATCTTTAAAAAAAAAAAATTAGAAAATTAAAAATTAAGGCCACACATGAACACAACAGAGTACTTAAACTGTGAGAAATAGTAAAATAGCAGCTATATTGTTTTAATGTTATTTAGAGACTATATAAGGTGAGCCAGGTTTGTGAGTGGTATTTTTATTGCTTTAAGTGGTTGTTACTTGGAATGATCAGTGTCATCAAACTTGTTAATGTGCTGAGTATAGTAGAAGGAGCTCTAAACTTGGGATCACAAGATGTGGGTTTGAACCTCTGCCATTTAGCTTTGTGTTCTGGGACAGGTTAAATGACCTTTCTGAGCTTCCGTGTATCAATCTCTGAATTGAGGAGAAAATGCCTGTCTAATAGAGCTGCTGTGAGAATCACATGAACTAATGTACATGAACATGATCAGTGTGGTAACCTAGCTTATCATAGGTTCTTTGTTTCCTCCCTCTGTCCTTCTTTGCAAAGTTTAATGTTAAAAAATGCTGTATTCTGTTAGTTGTATGTTTTTAGTAGGTATTATGGAGCTCTCTTAATTTGTAAAAAATGATCTAAACACTGTTTCATTCTTTTCCTTACAGGGAGGCCGTGTTGAGATTGAAGCAATAGCTATCCAAGGCCCTTCCACAACAGCATCACGCTAATGGGGATGCCGGTGTTATTTAGTCTGGAATATTAATAATGTTTTTAAATGAACATCTTAATTTTTATAATCAGTGTTGGAAAGTGTAAGACTGACTAAAATANACATATAAAATTCACCCATTTTAAGTGTAGAGTTACATGAGTTGGGGTATATGTGTAGAGTCATGCATCTACTACCACATCAAATTTTGGAACATTTCCATCACCCCCCAGAAATTCCCTTGTACCCGTTTGTGGTCAGTCCCCAACCCTAACCCTGGCCCCAGGCAGCCACTTAACTTTGCTGCTATTCTTTTGTCTTTTCCAGAATTTCATGTAAGTGGAATCAAATAATATGTAGGCTTTAGCTGAATCTATCAATGGGTAGTTTTTTTGTTTTTTGTTTTTTTGTTTTCTTTTTGCTATCAATAATGCTGTTCACGTAAAGTCTTTAGACATATTTTTTCATTTCTTCTGGGTAGTCGCCAAGGAAAGAAATTGCTGGGTTGTATGTTAAGTCTATGTTTAAGTTTATAAGAAACTGCCAAACTATTTTCCAAAGTGTGTGTACCAAAGTGACAGTGTCATTCGCACTGACAGTATATGAGGGCTCCAGTTGCTCCACATCCTGACCAACGCTTGTTATTATCAACGATGACCTATTGTGTGGAGTGGTATCTTAATGTGCTTTTGCTTTCCATTTCTCTAATGACTAATAATGTTGAGCATCTCATGTGTAGCACTCCTTAGCTCTGCATATGTCTTCTTTTGTGAAGTATCTGTTCAAATCATTTGCCTATTTTTGGGGAGTTGTCTTTGTATTATTGAATTTTAAGAGTTCTTTATATATTCTAGATACAAGTGTTATGTTAGATACGTGTTTTGCACATATTTTCTCCCAATCTGTAATTTGTGTTTTCATTTTTCTAAAGATGTTTTTCAATAAGCAAAAGTTTTTCATTTTAATGAAGTCCAATTATCATTCTTTTTATTTCACATTTTGTGTTTTTTGTGTCCTAGCAAAGAAATCTTTTAGCATTGAATTTTATATTTATATTTTATATATACACCGGTTTCCATTCATTGCAGTCAAGCTGTGTTAGTCGACAGGACCGTATACATTTCAGGCCAGCTAGGCATTGATCCTTCAAGTGGACAGCTTGTGCCAGGAGGGGTGGCAGAGGAAGCTAAACAAGTAAGTCATTTTCACATCTGAAGTTCCCTTCTCTACTATTGTACTTTTTAATATTGAGGAGTATTAAGAATCCACTTGGCTAATTTGTTTTAGACAGCCTACTGGTAAGTGCTTTTTAAGTTACTTACTGATTGATTTAAGACAACTTTATGTCAGTAGATAGTGGGAAATTTGATGAATCATTTAACAACCCTCCCGCAAAAAAAAAGATTGTTTCTTCCAAGGTGACTTACTTTAAACCTGATTGAATATTAACTAAACTTATTGTGGTAATCCTTCCACGTTATACACATATATCAAATTATCATGTTGTATGCCTAAAACAATGTTACATGTCAGTTATGTCTCAGTAAAACTGGGGTGGCGAAACCCTGAATTATTGAAATCAGGTGACACCTTGCCACTTGCATGTGGATTGGGAAATTTTCTTATCAGGGCCACTGACCTGCACAAACAACCCCACCACCACAAAAGTAAAAGTCAACATTTGTTAGTAAGAGAGAAATGTCAAAGATTAGATGTAGTATGTTTTTCTAAATAAGAACGGGGAATACAATTTTAATCCAATAAGTAGAATTAATATAACTTAATGCATTCACTGAGTCATTTGTAATATCCAAAGACAAAAAACAACCTAAATGTCCATCCATAAGGAGCTAGTTAAAATAAATACACGTAATTCTTGTGAGTGAATTGCTTCTTGGTTTTCCTCCAATGGATTGAATCTGTCTGAAATATGGTAAGACACTGTCTCCTTTTGTGAGTAAAAAGATTGGGTTGCAGTCTCTTCCTCAGTACTAGAATGTGTGAAGTTCTCAGCCAATAGCTACGAAGCTAAAACAGAAATAATTTCTGGGGTTCCTAACTCTATCACTTTGAAGATAAGTATGAGCTAGCAAGCAATAAAACATGTTTTCCCTTAAAGCAATATTTGACTTTAAAGAGTTTTTTTTTCCTTTTCCTCAAAAACAGTACGTATTAGTAAATTATATATATGTTTGACACTCTGGCCTCAGGAAAACTATTAGTTTTTCACCTTGTCTTTAACTTATTTTTTCAGTTCATTCTTCCTCTCCACTTTACTGGTTATGTATCATTTGATATTTTTGATTTTTAAAAAATAATTAATCTAAATAGGTAACATGTGGGTATGGAAAAAAAAATTCAAAAGCTATAAAAAAGCATAGACAATGAAAAGATGCCTCCCACCTTTATTCCCCCTCACTCCAGTTTCCTTCATCAGAAGTAACCACTGTTCCTAGTTTCTTGCATATCCTTCCAGAGACAGTCAATGCTTATACCAGCATAAATGTATACACACACGCGCGCACGCACACACACACACACACATGCAGATGGTAGCTTATTGTGCATGCTATTCTGCATCCTGGTTTTATTTTATCATGTAACAATTTAATATTAATTTAGTTGTATGATTCTAACCTGATGTATTTTAGATTTATTTAGAGGTGTCCTAGAAAGAGTAGAATTTCCTAGAAAGGGAGAATTTTTCTGCAGCATAAACTGTTTAAGGAGGTATTAGTAAAAAATGATTATTTGATTAAATGAATTAAAGCTTTAATATAACATCAGTGCCTCAGGCCTTTCTCACCTTGGTTCACAGGCTCTTACTAACGTGGGTGAAATTCTGAAAGCTGCAGGCTGTGACTTCACTAATGGTGAGCAACTTGGTATTACATCACATTTCTAGCTGATGTTTCTTTGGGTCTTTTTGAAGAACACATGACATCCAGTAATATGTCATGCCATATCTTTGTTGTTTTTTAAAGTTGTTTTAATTTTAGTCTCATTTTAATCATGAGAGCCACTGTGACATATGCTGTTTTTCTAAATAATGTTTTGGATCAGACCAAATAGCTAAACCTAATGACAATGTATATATCTTCTAGTGGTAAAAACAACTGTTTTGCTGGCTGACATAAATGACTTTGGTACTGTCAATGAAGTCTACAAACAGTGTAAGTAATTTGGCTTTATTACTATTTTCCATTAAAGAGAAATGAATCTATTAACTTGAAAGTGTGTCCATTATGAATACAGGGTGATAGAACATGCTAAAGAAATGGTTGGTCATAGATCCTGTCCTAAAAAAATAGTCTGCTTGGATATATACATGTGCCTCCATGAAAAAGACCCAAGATATTTCTATTGCAATCCTTAGAGTAATATACGACAACCCTGCTAATCCATTTCCTAAAGCTTAATCCTGTTACACCCTTCTCAGGCTTTTTAAGCCCTCCTAATAATTTTTTCTTAAACACAGATTATATTTATTATTGCTATGATATGGTTGAGCAACCATCTCTATACTGTCTCTCAGAATCATTAGCTACTTAACATGTTAGTTAGTTAACATTTTTATACCTTGGTTTCCTCATATGCAAAATGGGGATCAAACCTTATAGGGTTGTTGGAATGCTTAAATGAGTTAATACAACATGTAGACACATTAGAACAGATGTTGGCATGTTTTAAGTACTCAGTAAATGTTATCTATACTTATTAACGTTGTTGTCTTAGTGGGGAAAATGGGTGTCCCTACCAATTGGTGAGATGAGACAAAGGTGTAACATGGAAAAAGCATCATTACTTATTCTGTTCTGAAGAAATAGCTAGAGTAAACCAAAGTTAGCAATGTAAGTACCTGCCAAAATTTCTGGAGATGGGCAGTTGTTCCCTATTTAGATAACTTTTATAAGTATCACTTTAAGAACAAAACCTCATTCATATCAAACAAAATCAAAGTATCAGAGTATGTGAGTGTTTTCATTTTTTCCCAGAAAGCTATGACATTTTAAAAAGTATTAAATTTCCTAGGAGTCATTTGGCAAAATATTTTATCAAACAAATATGAATGTGAGCTTCTTTTCCTCAATGTTGTGTCTAAGAACTGAGAAATCTAGGAAGCATTTTCCAGAGTCTTGATTATGCTGTATTGAGTAACAATACACTATCTGAAAACTAAAATGAAATTATTTTAATTTTAGATTTCAAGAGTAATTTTCCTGCGAGAGCTGCATACCAAGTTGCTGCTTTGCCCAGAGTAAGTACACTTTAAAATAACTAATAAACACAATTTTAAATTTCTACATTGTTTTCTGACTCTAACTGTGGCAGGAAATCTTTAAAAAGAAAGAAATAGTCTCTGCTTTCCAGGAGCTTAAAGTCTAAAAGAAAACACTGAATATTCCATGCATGGGGGAAAATTAATAAACTTAAGAAATCTTAAACATTTGTCTTAAAAATTAAGAAAATTAGGGCTGGCTGAGTGGCGCATTGGTTAGGAGTTGACTTGGGATGCCAGCTCTGAGCAGCAGGGCCCCCGTTCGGATCCCACATAAGGGCCAGTGACACTGCCCTCTACAGCTAAGATGCTGAACAACAGCTCGACCTGGAGCTGGGCTGCCGTGAGTCACTGGCAACGGCATAGGCTGTAGTGGGGCTTGCTGGCAGCGGGCGTGAGCTGCCATGAGCTGCTGTGAGCCGCCATGAGAGGCCGTCCNAAGATGATAATCCTTCCCTGTATACTATATTAAAATTAATTACATCTTTGTAGTCATTGTAATATAGAAGCTAAAGTAAAAGAATCTAGTTAATTCATCTGAGCAATAATCTTAAAACACATATTTACAAATAAGATAATCCAAATGTTTCCAGAATATAATTCTATCCCAATATTCATAAACACAAGGCACTCAATGGTGGACAACATTGCTATTATTATTATTCACATGTAATCATTTACCAAAATCCCTTGGCAACTTTGGAAGAATTCCTGAAAAGTGAGTTTCTATTACGGTGCATCATTTAACAATAACAAAATATTATAAATGGTTTATAAATCTTGATTTCTTAGCCCCTTCCCATCTCTAAAGCCTAATATTAAATCACAGTAATCTAAAAAAGAATTGGGCCCAAGGAAGAAATCCACAGAGGCAACAAACCTAGGTTTTAATTTTTGCTGTTTATTGCCTCTGAAATACATTTAAAGGTCATTTAATTTAAAATACCTTTAATGTCAGTCAAAAGGATAACACCAATTGAAACACCTCACATAAATATAAAATCAACAGCTGATTCAAAATGGCACACGGACCTATCATTGTGAAAACGCCTAATCTTGCAATAGCACCAGAGTCTGGATTCCTTTGATAAGGATTTTGTTAACATATTTAACATTCCATGATAAATAAGGCTCTATGGTAGTAGACAGACTTAAGGTGAGAAGGTAATTAGATGACATAATATTTTCTAAGGTTTCTATCAGCTTTAAATTCTGTGGTAGAAAAGACATACTAGGTATAGTTTGCCCCATTTTGTTGTTCATTCTTATTCCATCATAATTATAACTGTGTCACTTTGTTATCCTGAGCTCCCTAAAATTTGCTACTCCCTTCTCCAGCCACTATACCTAAAGGTTTATACTTTAATTTTAGGGTCTCATTTTTCTATACTGAATGGACCCATTGCCACAATGAACAAAACACCCTCACACTCTTGAATGATCATATACTCTAGTTGTTATTGGCTCTGGCTATTGAAGCTTTAAATGTATAACTATTCTAAGTAGCTAAAAAAACGGTTTACAGCTTAGCAGTTTTATGGAACAACATAATTAAAAACATGATAACCACACTCCTTGTATGAAACNTACCACACACCTAGACTAGATGATGTAGCCTGTTGCTCCTAGGCTACAGGCCCGTAAAGTGTGTACAACATGAGATTAAATCAAGCACAAGAGAAAATGACGCAGTCAAAAGACACAGTAGGGGCTGGCTGAGTGGCTCAGTTGGTTAAGAGCTCACTCAAGAGTGTGAGCTCTGAGCAACAGCAGTTCGATGTCCAGCCCAGCCCGAGCTGAGCTGCTGCTGAGCAGGATGTCTCAGCTAAAAAAAAAGAGACACGGTAAACAAGATGACTGAGGCTGCTGCCAGTGTGACATGGCATGCTGTTTTACAGCAAACTTTTTTTATAAGTAGAAAGAGCACACTTTAAAATAATGATGAGAAAGTATAGTAGATACATAAACTGATAACATTTATTATGTCAAGTATTATGTACTATACATAACTGCTGTATTTCTATATGACTGGCAGTGCAGTAGGTTTACACAAGTGTTTACACAAGCATACCCACAAACATATGAGTAATGCATTGCTCTATGACCTTACAACAGCTGTGGTGATAGGAATTTTTCAGCTCCATTAAAGTCTCATGGGACCACGACTGACCAAAACTTCATGATAGGGCACATGTCTATCATATTACAGTAATACTGCCATAATTTCTTAAGCATACATATACAGATAACATCCTTACATATATTTTTTCAGGTTATTTTAGAAATGTCATGCTAATTTGAAAAGCTCGGTCAACCAAAAGATATTAGAAACAAGAACTGCAGTTTCAAGAGCCGACTTTTGAGTAATACCAATGGTGTTCCATGCCCAGATCTACAACTTAGTTCTGTGACCTTCAGCTAGTAATTCAACCTCTTTAAGCCTCAGATTCCTGAGAGATAATTGCTCCTCAAAGGGTTGTCATAAGAATTAAGATGATACATGAAAGTTACTTAGTGGTGTCTAGTATACAGCAAAGGCTCAAAAGCTGTCATTATTCGGCAGTATTTAATAATTATTAGTCACCATATGGAATAGTGAGCTAGGTGGAAAAGTTTCTGCTATTTTGATAATGAAATGTACTAACAAAAGATTAAGTATAAGTTCTCTTCAAGTAGGCAGAGTTGGGGAGGATAGCACTGTGAATTGGTAAAACAAGGTCAGGTGCTAAAAGACACTATGTGAAACAGTATAGTATAGTGGTTGAAGGCATGGACTCCAGAGCCAAAGTACTTGAATTCAAATCCTATTCCACTACTTTGAGCAACTTATTTAAGCTCTATGTTGTATTTCTTCTATAAAATGTCTCCTTTGTTTCATCTGTAAAATGGGGATATTATTAGTACCTACCTTATAAAGTTGTTGTAAGGATTAAATAAATTAATATGTTTAAAGCACTTAGAATAATGCCTGGCACATAGCAAGGATGATGACAGAAGGCTTTCTATTATTTGGCAGTAAAACGAATGAGCCTCAAACCACAAAAAGACTTGGAGGAACCTTAAATACATGTTGCTACGTGAAAAAGTCAGTCTAAAAAGGCATGATCCCAACTATATGATGTTCTGGAAAAGGCAAAACTATGGAGACAGAATAAAGATTAGTGGTTGCCAAGAGTTTGGGTGTGGTAGGGGAGGGATGAAGAGGTGGAACACAGGAGATTTTTAGGGCAGTGAAACTATTCTGTATGATACTGTAATTGTGGATATGTGTTATGCATTTGTCAAAACCATAACACAAAGAGTGAAACCTAAGTGTGAACTAGAGACTTTAATTAAATAATAATGTGTTAATACTTGGGGAAACTGCAGTGGGGAGAGGAAGAGAGTATATGGGAACTCTACATAAAAATACTCAAAATTTTTTTTAGTTAAAAAATATTTTAAGGACTATAGTAATGAGGTCTGTGGTAGAGTGTTAATTGAAAGGTTTCCTCTTTCACTTGAAAAATGTTGCTCATAGTTAGCTGGTATATCCTAAAAATATAAAGACTTAGGAAAATCAGCAAGTGACAAACACTTCCCCAAAAAAACAATGCTAAGAAAAATGTTGACAGGTGGTAAAATTTATCTAAGTTAACACCTGAATTTGTTAACCATTAAAACCAGTTTATTATTAACTATTTCATACTTATCAAAGAAGTTATGTAAAGTATACGCATGGTTTAAAGAATAATAAAATTGACGCCTCTAAATTCGCTTAAAAAAGGAACCTTACCAATACTTTCAAAGCCCAACAATCCATTCTCAGTCCCATTTGCCTCACTTGCCCCAAAGGTAACTGCAGTCCTAAATTTTGTGTTAATCATTCTTGCTTTTCTTTATAGTTTTGCCACATAGAAGTTATTCATACAAATGATCATTTAGTTTTGCCTGATTTTGAATATTATATTAAAAAAAACATACTAAGTATATTTGTCTGACTTGCTTTTTTTCACTCAGTGTTATGGTTTAAATTTTTTTAAACATTTTTTTAATACTGAGTAGATACAAAAGAATGTTAACCACCCACATTTCCACCACACAGTTTGAGAAAAAAAAACAGTTATTTGCTGTAGAAGACCAGATGTGATGCTCCAATCTGTCCCCTTCCCCCATCTCAGAGGAAACCAATATCCTTAATTTCGTGATTATCATTTCTTCTTTTATCATATATGTTTGAATCATTAAACAAAATATTGTTTATCTTTACAAGTTTCTGAAGTAAAAATGAAATACATTGTGTTTTTAGTCATTGAGGAATGTCTTTAACATTTCACCATTGAGTACAATGCTTGCTATAGGTTTTTATATATTCCTTTTATTAGATCAAGAAAGCTTCCTTCTAGCCTTACTTTGCTAAAAAGTCATTCATTCTTTTTTTCCTTCTTTCCTTCCTTCCTTCCCTCCGCCTTCCACAAATATTTAATAAACCAGATATTTTCATGAGTACTGTGAATTCTGCAATAAACAGCCAAAAATTCTTGCCCTCAGGGAACTTAACTTATAGTGAACTGACAATAAACAAAGCAAGTAAATTATATATTAGGCAAACTCATAGTGACAGAAACTAAATGACAGTAACTAG